AATTAGGATGACAGATATTCATTCTTTCATTGACTCACTTAAAATAGCATCACTGAAGAGATGCCTCTGTAGAGCTAACTTCAACAGTCCTTGCAATGTTCCTATTAGACCATTACTTCAATTAGGAGCTAATATTGATCAATTTAAGAAAGTTGATGACCTTTACTGAAAAGATGTTTGTTTAGCATGGAAGAGGTACAGATCATCCTTTAGAGTTGATCAATGTGATTTTCAGAAAATACTTCATGAACCTTTGTGGCCTAACCACCATTATGAAAACCTTTCTCTTTTCATCCATGATTGGTTCAATAAGTGTGTGACTGAGATTAAAGACACATGTAATTCTGACGGGTTATTACTGTTTAATGAATTTAAAACTAGATACTCAGTTAAAGGTATTTTTTTTAGATTACAACAGAATTGTGAGTAACATTCCCATTACTTGGAAAGTAATCATAAACTTGAAAGTCAAAATTTTGGTATTAATGAAGTGATTTTAACACTTCTTACATCCTCTAGAGGTTGTAGAATATTTTGCGATACATTGATCAAGACAGATATATGTTATATTCTCAGATGTAGTGAAAAGTGACCACATGGAAGGCTGGAGGACATGAGGACCAGGCCCTTTGCTGACATATTCAGGCTGCGTGATGTGGAGGCAGGCGACTGAGAGGTGGGGTACCGATCACGTAATCCACTTGAACATGTCAGGATACCATTCAACAGGCACCATTTTGTTCTTTGGGACAGGATTTTCACAAGTATGTTAAACTTGCCCAAAATGGGACATGCTTCAATCCTGCACCTCATCAAGTCTGCCAAGCCAAATAAACTTGCAACAACTGAATATTCACTACAACTGTGGTGCTGTCTGCCAAGAGTCACAGTCCCTATATCAACCATAGTCATGCTGACGTGTTGGCATACTGTGTCGGTAAACTGACCTGTGAGCTGCATGAGGCACATGCAGAGTAATGGTGACAGAAACCTTGTCTAACATCATCCCAGCTCTCACTGTATGCTGGGCTGTCCAACAAAGAATGGTATGGGAGGGGGGGGGACACATCTGCTAGGCTTTGGATCATCTGCACAAGTCTTTACTTGTCAGCAATCATGTCATTGACTTCAAGCGATGGATATTTTTCCTCATACCCTCTGTGATGGGACATAGAGATTACTAAACGAGTGTCTGTCAGATACCATTTATCTTACGAGTTGTTTCAAAACGTATTTAACGAGCGAAAGCGAGTTAAATACGTTTTGAAACAACGAGTTGTAAGATAAATGATATCTGACAGACACGAGTACAGTAATCTGTTTCTTACACACCATAAAATCGCACTATTTTATGGTCGAATAGATTCAAATTTCATGTTTTCTCATCGTAGGTGCGTAATAATACACAACACAACGTTTATGAATGAGTGACGTCACTTGGCTTCCTAATCACTACTCATCCCCATGGTGACCCTCCACAAAAAAGGTTTCTGCCACCTCTTCGCATCATCAAGGCAATAGTGATAATGATAACTAGATAAGATCACAGAAAATTAATTAAACCCTCTAAAACGATGATGTTACCATGCAAATGTGGATGATTTTAATTCTTGCAAGCGTAAAATATTTGAGTGAGTGACGTCATCGTTATCGCTTGGTGGTTGTCGTCATAGGAAGATTGTTTTGGATATCTCTGCACATTGGGGATCTGTACTTGTGTACCAGTTTACGTTCAATGTTCTCCCATCGACCGGAGCCAAAACTTTTGAGTGTGTGTAATTAGGTGCACCTAGTGTGCTTGAATGTGACATTGCTGAGGTTATGTTCACTGTCAATGGGGGACTACTCTTCTTCGCCACATCCTTCTCGTTTTCCCGAGCCAGAAACTGCCACTTGGAATGTAACAGAATTTACGGAGTTGTCAGTATGAAATGTGAGTTGATTACATCCTGTAAGTTATCAAGACATAAACTTTTCATTATCATGCGTCGGAGGAATATCTTAAGCAATGACTTATGTGTAGATCAACCGTTCCTGTATATGTTCGATTGAATAGAAAGGACGTGTGCCGCCATTTGCACTCATGAAGCCTTGCAAAACGTACCATGTTGTACATTGTTTCAACGAGTGTGTTTTGGTTCAGATTCTCATGAGTGAATTTGATAACATTGGAATCACAATAGTATCTCAGAGCTGGAAGTGGGTTTCATCATGTGTATCAGTGAAAAATGTCATCTTCATCAATGCATCAAAGAAACAACGAGGCAAATCGATCTCACAATGGACAGGCACTGACGTTATCGTGTCAGGTATTTTTGCAAGACGACACATGACACTTGTCGGATCTCTCCCAGTAAAAGTACCAGTGTTGTACATTTTGAATATTCGAAGGGAATCAAGGGTTTTATCTCTAACGGTGATTTTCACATAATTGTTTACACAGGTATCACTGATTGTTGGAGCCATTTTGAATTCATGACTAGAAATCAAAAGTTTTAATAAAAGGAATTAGAAAATAAATAGATTTGTGTTATATTTATTATATACTCATGTGACTCATTTTATAAGTACCTGTTTATGTTGCAATCGCGAAAATAACAGGTAGGTGTAAAGGGGTATTTTTTTGCACGAGTAACAGGTTTCTGTTCGATTGAAGCACGAGTAACTTATCAATGGATTTTAATCAGGAAAGTAGTCCGTCATACCCTGACCCTAGGTCATCACCATGGAGTAGCCAATCACGGGCTTAGAAATCGATCTCACACATATGTGTGATACCAGTTTTCTCACACGGGTTTCTCACCCACGGGTGTGTAAGAAAATAGTGCACCTTCTTCACATATAAAATAGTAAGAAAGGAATTTTCGAGACTTCTGATGCTTGCTAATGACCTTTCTTTGTGTCATGAGTGTGAAGTGACTTTGACTGACTAGATGAGCCGTGACTCACATCATAATTGACAACATCATAATCTAATTTGTCTTTCAATTTTAATCTGCCAGTGTCTTTTACCTAGATGTTTTAGGCTTAATAGGACAGGTATCATAAACTTGATCGAACTTCTCAGATCAGTTCTTCTCAATATGTATTGCTTTTGGTTATGTTCCAGCAATTGATGGAGTCTTTCAAGGCAAACAACTATGAAGTCTCCATCATCGGTGAACTGGATTTGGTGTCTTCCCGTTTCTGAATGTAAGCTACCACTGTGGTCTTGTCTATGGCTATGAAGACTATATGAGCCAGAAGATTTCTCCAGTTCTTAAGTGCACAGTAGCATAGTAAAGCAGCACACCTTCATTTCTAGACCTTACCTTCTATCCTTGGTGCAAAAAGACTAGAAAGAATGGACTTCTTCCTGATGGGATCTCTACTAATGAACTTTGGGCCTTCAGAGCCAAAATAATGAACACTTGAAAACACTGCATAGTATCCTGTCTCACCTATTCAATGATCTTGCCAATGTTCTCACTGAACATCTTGTCAACTGTAATGTGCTGAGACATCAACACTCTTTGAATGATCTGACTCTGCTCTAGAATGTAGAGAGTGCATGTTGTCTTTGGAGCCATAGAAGTTTTGAAATATCCATACGTGTGGATATCAGATCTCCTTGCTTTTGGATGACTCAATCTGGTATATATAGTAGTAAGCTGACCAGGTCCATCCTGATGGAGCATTGAGTGTCATTTGTAACTTTTTGTATGAATCCAGCTATAGTAGTATGGCATGACTACAAAATGTGTTTGTTTTGTTAGCAGATTCCAGTTTCATAAGTCTGGCTAAAACTAAGTTGACCCTGGTGTTGTTCTAGGGATTAAACCAACTTGAAGATTTCTTCGTTCTACATGAGGGATGTAAATTTCTGAATCAAAGGGTCTATCTCAAAGTAGGACACATCTTGGTTTTTAAGTGCATCCCAATTTGAAGGAGATGAGTCTGGTATGCATCTCCGTGCCATGTGAAACAAAATAATAATAAGGCCAATTTTATAGCATTTAACTCCAAGCTGCATGGACATGCTCTAAGCACATGCAACATGATGGACATTATTACCCCGGATAATCCAAACTGCCTGTGAGGTGCTAGAAGGTTAATAGTCATATGACTTATCCCATTGGGTACCCATTTTCTGCTGGGTGAACATTTCCATGACAGATGGCTGTCCTCTTTATGGTCTCTGTGCCACATGTAATCATGCTTCAGTAGCACCTATGAATCCCTGGGTTAGTGAGAATACATATGGGGCACATGTGTTAACTGTGACAATCTGGAAGAGGTTGGTGGCTTGGTTCTTGCTGCATTCATGCAGTCACTGTACAGCCTCTTGTCCAAGGAACCCTTCTTGGATTGTTTCTGTTGTTGCAGTTTCAACTGTTCCTCTTTAGTGGATATAGTTTCTTGGCAGGGAAACAATCATGGATTTCATGGCAGCAATCTGTTTTAACAACAGTTGTTCAAGGATTTCCATTGCGATGGTAGGCATTGACACAATTGGCATAAGTGTTGGGCCTGATCCTGACTCAGAAGGACTCTCTACTAGCACAGCTGTTGATGGAAATGAAATCACCTCAATCACTTTCCTGGCGGCCTCCTTTCACTTGGCCACTTTGTTGTTGTCAGTCAGTTGGATGAAGGCTTACTTGCTGTAAGATTTACAAGGTAGAAATCGGAGATGCCATCCTTGGGTTTGCACAAATATTAATCTCCTAAAGCACTCTCTGCAAACTAAATATCCTACCTATGACTTCTAATGTCTTGAAAGTCTAAACTAAACACTGATATATTTTCCCAAAAAATACATGTAATCTATTTATTAAATTAAATTCTTACTATGCATGTCAACCACAAAAATTAGGTACAATATGCACACAATGCTAGTGTTCCAGCTGTACCAGCTAGAACAAACATTATACAAGCTAGACAATGGGTGGGGTAATCTGGAATGAGTCGGTGGGATAAGAGAAAGTAGGGGGATTAGGATGAGCTTCTATTGGAGGTACATACCCATCATGTTGTAAAGTGACTGGGGTGCATAGTGGGAAGGCCGACGCTTGAGAGCTTCCTCATAAACTGACAATGCATCCTGCAAAACATAAAAACATGAAAACTAAATTTATCAGTAACTGTTAACGGTGATGTTACAGTGTAACTTTGGTGATATATCACATTAGTATTCAGTCCCTAGTACATTTCCCAGTAACTGTTTTCCTCCTCCTCCTCAGTAATTGTGCTCGCCATAAGAAACCCAGGCTCACGATATCAACACAAACATGTAGTGCAATGTACATACATGTTGTGTACATAAAACACATTTACTCTTTCTCAAATTCAATGGAAATGTCACTGCAGTTTTATAGCTATTTAAAAAAATGTATACCATTCCAACACTATTAACTAAGGCTTTTTCATATGTTCATGCCTTCCTGGTCATGTATCAAGATCACTTTGAATTTCGACTGGTGAAAGTCCATAGTTTCATGTATAAATGCAATGAATCTATTAATTTGGGTCTTTCTTAAATCAGATATATATCAGTGTATGAAATAAGCCCCTAAACCAGCCAGACATCAGGGCTGGTAACTTCAAAATGTTACCAGCCCAAAATGGATTTAATCAGACTAAATATGGTGAATTTACTCAGATGTATGGAACATCTAAAAAATTTACCAGACCATCGGGCTGGCCAGCAGTAAATTTAGACCGTCCGTCAGAAATCTAGACTGTCTCGGGCGGTCGAACGGGCCTTATTTCATACACTGTATATATATAAGTAAGCTTACAATCACCACACCTTTTGTAATTGTGATTTAAAGGAATCCTGCTACTGTTGCCTTGGGGCTATTACAGGCACACATAGACTGATAGGATAGAAACGTGTGCTTCTTACAGCCCTTAGACAGACAGACAATTATATTTATGTCTCACTCGTAGTTACATTTAATATTATATAGATGTATCACAGATAAAAAAAAATAATACAAGTTAGATGTACAACAACCAGTATGATATGTACATATCATAACAGCACAAGCAGAGATACAGTTACCTTAATCATATAAAATATCACAACACTTTGTTAAAATATCACAGCAGGTTTTGGAGACAATAAAAATTAAGTCATGAGAATTAAGAATGTAAGGAAACATTTCTTCATAAGATAGCGTATTAAAATGCTGGATTTTGCTTGAAAACGAATTAAAGAGATTTTCTCTAATGGTGGTGTAAATGGGGCAGTAAAGCAGGACATATTCATCCTCCACTTGTTTAGGACAGTTAAAACAAAATTTCTTGTTGTGTGGCAGGTTTTTGTATCTTCCCGTCTCCGAACTTATTGGGGCCACTCCACATCTAAATTTCGCCAAGGCACCCCTGTGACTTCTGTTTCATACTTTTCCTTAAAAAGTCCATATTTCCGTAGCTGATTCTTCCCTTGCCTTCCTTCAAACAGAGATTAATTTTCAACTTACCTTACCTCATGGTAATGTGCATATTACCTTTGCTCATCCGATACAAAGATTTGAAACGTGATTGATAAGTATCCTTGTTGAATTCTACCATGAGACAGTAACGTGTTGATCTCATCCGGTGAGCGGAAGCACGGCCCTCTATCACGTCATGTGACAATGAGAACACGTCACTTTATCCTTTATCACCCTGCGATTTGGACGTGATTACAAAATTTCAAAATTTGCTTATTTACTGTATTCTTTGTGTTCTGTTATGCTAAGGACGTTTTCTTATTGTATCCTTATACCATGACATAACAAAAGGTTTCTACTCACCGATGGCTGTTTTTCTCACAGTACGATCTTCGCAGTGTGTTGCTTACTTTTTTCTTGCCTCACCTAGTTCTTCAGCTTTGTTTTGGAAAGTTTTGGTACTCCCTTGGTTAGCCTGGTATTTTTTGTTCTTGCTTACCATTTTATGTGCCTTATTTCTCTCCATTTGTGTCACATTTTCACGTTTTTTGCCCTTGCTTGGTTTTCCACGTGCTTGGGTAATGGCAGCTATTGCTAGGCGTGGCTTTTACATGCAGAGCTAGTAGTGTGTTGTCACAATTGTCGCTTGGTTTTGTATTCTGTTTTCCGGCCCTTTTTATCTTCACTGTCGCGTTTTAAGCTGTCAGTTTTTATATTGCTTACATGTTTATTGGTATAAGTTTAAATGCATGCAATGCTATATTTTTTCTTCTTTGCAATGTTATATTTATTTGACTTGCGTTCAACAGTTTTTGCTTTCTGTTGTTGCATTTACTGTGGTGATTTCATGCCACATGTGTATTGCCCCCCACCCTGCCTACCCGGACTGTCTGGTGAATTCGGCGTGTGACTGGATCTCTTGGTGTTTGTTTTGCTGGGACCTCCCTTTGGAACAAGCTCTTCACTCAACATAAACGCCTGATGTCTTCTGTCGACACTGGTGAGGATCCTAAGGCTCCCTCTACGCCTATGGTCCAACTTGGGAACATCCCCATGGCTTCATCGGATCGGCGCTCTCCAACTTCGCCTCAACGCCAGTCTCCCTCTCCAGAATGCTTCAGAACTAGCCACCTCACACAGTACCAGATCGACAATGTGGTGAACCCCGGTGTTCTGTCTATTCTTCAGGATCCCTGGGTCATGAATCTCCTTGTTGGTCTCCTTGAGAAAGAAGATTGACAATGTCTGGACCGTCGCTCCCCTTCTAAGGAACGCCAGGGATCTTCTGTCGTGGCAGAGGACGGTCCACCGACTTTCAACGTCGCCCTAGAGGGACTTGGGCAAGACCAGCAAGCCCAAGTACATCTGGACATTCCAAGGAGACCCCTTTGTCACCAATATCCTCAAGACAGGCTACAAGTTGCCAATAGCCAAGTCGCTGCCAGTGTCCATCATGCCTTACCGTTAAACACCAGCACCTGTTAACCAACATCTAGTCGTTGCTGGACAAGAAAGCCATAGAACAAGTGATACAGCCCAGCAACTCCCAAGGTTTTAATCTCCCATCTTCCTCGTACCCAAAAAGAACTCTCAGAAGATGAGGATGATACACAATAATGTAATTTTTGGAATAAAATTGATATTTTATACTTATCCTGACTCATGCTCTTTTTGCTTGTCTTCTTCTTCTTGCGAACATAGTGGAACACTTGTATCTCCCTAATTGAAGCTCCCTTCAATTTAAAATCACTAATTAGTATTCACCACGAGTTACCTCCCTTCCACAAGCTCGGGAACGAGGGCGCCACCTCTACCCATGTGCCTCACTCTCTCCTCATATACTGAGCCCAACATTTGAATTTACAGGGAAATCCAAAGTCTTATGTGGGGAGGATGGGAGGGCTGACCTCATGAGTCAGGATAAGTATAAAATATCAATTTTATTCCAAAAATTACATATTTTTCCTTATCCTGACTCATGCTCTTTTTGCTTGTAGAATCCTACAGAACGGAGGTGGGAATATCTAATACTTTGGATTTTTAATAATTAGTGATTTGAACTGTGATGATTGTAATAACCCTATGGGAACTTCATAAAGGCACTGAACTGATGAATTCCTGCTGCTAACTTATCAGCTGCCATATAAAGGTTATTACCATGTACTTATTATGATAAAGTATATATAACATTAATACAATGCTTAAGACTAATACACTTAAGCTTGTTAATATGCTAGTATAAACTTCTTAGAGTTTGTTAGCTAAAATACTTTAAGATATAAACATAGTACTAAGCTTAAGATATGATTAAACTTAAGCTAATTATATAATAGCAAACTCTTTAGAGTTTGTTAGTTAATATACTTATATGATATAGATATAATGCTGAGCTTAAGATATGAATAATCTTTAGCTACATATATAATAGCAAAACTCTGTAGAGTTTGTTAGCTAATATATTTTTATAATATGAGTATAGTACTGTGCTTAAGCTATAATTAACTTAAGCTACATATATAATAGCCAAACTCTGTAGAGTTTGTTAGCTAATATATTTTATAATATTAGTATAGTACTGAGCTTAAGATATAATTAACTTAAGCTACATATATATAGCAAAACTCTGTAGGGTTTTGTTAGCTAATATATTTTTACAATATGAGTATAGTAGTGTGCTTAAGATATAATTAACTTAAGCTACATATATAATAGCAAAACTCCGTAGAGTTTGTTAGCTAATATATTTTACAATATGAGTATAGTAGTGTGCTTAAGATATAATGAACTTAAGCTACATATATAATAGCAAAACTCCATAGAGTTTGTTAGCTAATATATTTTACAATATGAGTATAGTATTGTGCTTAAGATATAATTAACTTAAGCTACATATATAATAGCCAAAAAACTCTGTAGAGTTTATTAGCTAATATGTTTATAATGTAACCATAGTACTAGCTTAAGATAAGATTAGACTTAAGCTAAATGTATATAGCAAAATAAACTCCTTAGAGTTTATTAACTAATATACTTTTTTATGTTAAAAACATAGTACTGAGCTTAAGATATTTAAACTTAAGCTATATATATATAATAACAAAACTCCGGCCGAGCCTTGTTAGCTAATACCTTTATAATGTAAACATACTGCTTAAGATATGATGAAACTTAAGCTAATTGTATAATAGCGAAAACAACCCTTTAGAGTTTGTTAGCTAAAATACTTATATGATATAAACCTAGTATTGAGCTTATGAAGGAAAACTTAAGCTACATATATAATAGCAAGAACTCCGTAGAGAGTTTGTTAGCTAATACATGTTATAATGTAACCATAAAGCTTAAAATATGATGAAACTTAAGCTTAAATATATAATAGCAAAAAAACTCTTTTTAGAGTTTTGATAGCTAATATACCTATATGATATAAACATAGTACTGCGCTTTAAGATATGAATAAGCTTAAGTTACATATATAATAGCTAAAACTCTGTAGAGTTTGTTAGCTAATACATGTTATAATATAACCATATTGCTTAGAAATATGATGACACTTAAGCCAAATAGCAAAAACTCTTTAGAGTTTGTTAGCTAATCTACTTATATGATATAAACATAGTACTAAGCTTAAGATATGAATAAGCTTAAGCTACCTATATAATAG